GAGTTTATTTTTGGGGTGATGAAAATGTTCTTCGAACTAGACAGTCATGATGACTACACAATCTTGTGATCATACTAAAAACCAATAAATTATATACTTTAAAAGGATGAATTTTATGGTATGTAAACTGTATCTTAATTTTTAAGAATCTGTCACCAGTCCTCTGAGCTAACATCTATGGAGTATTTCAGAACAGCAGTACAGTAAAACTAAAAGACAACCTCACCTAATTGCATTAAGGCATGAAATTCTACCTGAAGGGTTACAACCTTTCTTTTAATTCCAAGAAGCTCTATTACCACCCCCCAACCTCTACCTCCCCTTCCCCAACAAAAGCAAGAGAGGAGTAAAGCATGAGATCACCTAGAATTACCATCTCCAGAGCAATGGATAATTTTGCTACTTAGGAGACATTTTTAGCTGTAACAGTGAGTTGGGTGCTATAGTCATCTAGCTGGTTGAGGCAATGGGATGCTACTACTAAATATTAAACATAAGACATAGTGCAGTGCCCACAGCAAAGAACTGTCAGCGCAAAATGTCAAACAATTTTCTAGAGCCATGGTTCTCAAAACGTGGCCCCCAAGTCACCAACAATAGCATCACCTGGGAACCTATCAGAAATGCAAAATCTCAGCCAGCCCAGACCTATAGAATTAGCAATTCTGGGCATCAATGCTTTAGCAAGCTCTCTAGATGACGCAGATCAATACTAAGCATGAAAGTCACTGATGAAGTTAACAAACGTAATGTTAAATAATGCAATCGAAACACAACAGTGAAGTTTTGTGTCCAAAGTCACCTACAGTTAGTATGGAACAAAACCAGGATTTGAACTCAGGCTGCCTAATGTCAGAACCTGCGTACTCTTATGCTATACTATTTTTTTTAAGTGCCTTAACTTTTGTATATCAGTGACTTATTCTTCGATAACAGGATAAAAGTTGCTGGCAGAATCAAGTTAGGCAGAGGACAGAGCATGGAATGGGAGAGATATCACCATAATAATGATACCACCCCAAATTCTAAGCACTAGTATACATTTTATAAGTTGCCAAATAAGTAATATGAAAACAATAAGGATATATTAATGTTGCTAGGTTACTCCAAAGTATACTGAGCCTATGTGATGACTTTTTTTTTTTTTTTTTTTTTGGTCAAAGCTTGGTAGCAATTCCTCTGAAACACAGGCAGAGGTTCACACAAAAACAAAACAAAACAAAAAACAACTTGGTAGCACTGTAGACTTTCTTGTTTTTCAGTCTCTAAAACCTGGAAAAGTGCTATCTTTTCAAGATTCACATACAGTTCAAGAAATTAGGCTTGACAGGTGTAACAGGCAGGGCAGATTTTGACTCAGAGGGTGGAGAGAGGAGGCACAGTGGAAATTTTCAAGCACGTCCTGCTCAACTTGCTTGCATGAACTTTGATTTCGAATTTAAGCTTAAAATGGGAAAGTTCCCCTTGGTAGGATGATACTTAACTCTTTTTTATAACTTTCTCTTTCAACAAAAATTTGGAACATATGGTTCTTGCGCCAGTAGGCTGTCTGATAAAAGGGCAATTTATCCAGCATGTGAGAAAATGAGATGTTCCACTGAGTTCCGTATAAGTGACAGAATTATCCCTTTAAGTACTTAAGCTTTTATTACTTTAGCTGTTTCTAGTAGAATAATTTCTAAAATGTTCCATATATGTCTCTCCAATCTCTAAATGCTATGTAGTGAAAACATACTTTTATCTGATACTCAGTATTATAATTTTGATCTTCAATAATTGAACATGGAGCCTGTAGAAGTATATAAGGATGTCAGCCCAAAGACGGAATCATCCAACACTTGGGTCTTGTCTGTCACATACAGTTGTCTGAATTTTGCTCAGTGAGAGCAAAACCCCACACGCAACCAAACTGACTAGAAGTTGACATAAAATAGAGCAAATTAATCTAAATGAGTCTTTTCTTTGGAGTGTATGTGTACACTTTTGCTTGCATTTGGTGTTTGAATTGTGTTTAGCATTAATCTGGCTTCCAGATGGGGGGGAGGTGCTACTAGACATGTAAATGACATCAAACATTGCTCGCCAAAACATTTATTCTGCTTTTTAAAACATTTATTCTGCTTTTTATAATGACGGCTGAAAGAGAACAAACCCAGCATTTACACTCTATTTTGAAACATGTCTTTTAAAGTGTTTCCAAATCTTAGAATTCTACATCTTCATAAACACCGCCCTCCAATTTTGTCACTGATAATCTCTAATCTTATCCAGAAATTTTCATTGATGAGTTTTCCAGTGACATTTCAAAAACTCTATTCTACAATACCATACTCCCTGACCTCTCTACCAAGCTGATAATGTGGATTACCCGTTTTCTTGACATTTTATGAGATTCTAAATAGATTCTCTCATGTTGTCAGGTTCTGTCAGTAGCCTTTCAAACTTCTCAGATTTTTCCTCTATATTTTTTATCAGCATTTCTCACTTACATAAGTGCAATTACTAAGTACCATATTTTTGCAGATGCCCTTCAAACACAGACAGTCCCCAACTTAGGATGGGTTAATTTATGATTTTTCAACTTTACAATGATGCAAGAGATACACATTCAGTAGAAATCATACTCTGCCCATAAAACCATCATATTTTTCATTTTCAGTAGAGTATTCAATAAATTGCATGAGATATTCAAGACTTTATATGAAATAAGCTTTGTGATAGATGATTTTGCTTAACTGTAGGCTAATAATGTAAGTGTTCTGCACACGTTTAAGGTAGGCCAGGCTAAGCTATGGTGTTTGTTCGGTTAGAAACATGAAATGTATTTTCAACTTATGATGAAAGGTTTGTCGGGATGTAACCCCATCGTAAGTTAAGGAGCCTCTGTACATCTCTCTATTTTCATGTGTTTTTTTCTTCCTAGATTTTAAACAATGCAGCCCTACTTAGATTCAAATAGCTTCATCTTTGCCTTCTTCTTTCTCTAGCATAAAGGGAAGCACTACTTGCGGAGACTCAAAAACTCCAATCTTAAGTTCCTCGCCATTCTGTTTACAGATTTACAGATTCTGCCAAATCTATTCCTTTCACATTATCAAAGAATTTAGAGCTTTGCGCAGTGGCAGTATCGTAGCCAATGAGGTTTGTCCAAGGCGCGATTATTGCTAACTGAAAACTTTTCCCAATACCCTGCCATGACGACTTGAAATATAGTCGGCATTGGCAATTTTTGACAGTCTCTAAGGAAACTGAATTTTTTAAAAAAGATTTAATTTAGTGCTTCTTTCCTCTATCTCTCCCCTGCCTAGTCAAACCTCGGCCACATTATGCAACTTAGTTTTCCTCTCTTCTGAAATACAGCAGTGAAAGCCATGTCCTTGCCTGGAGGCGGAACCCAACAGAAGTGTAAGCTGCGCATTAACTATATATTGCTGCTATCTGAAATCCCCTAAATGGTCTAATATGCAACTGGCTACCTCAAGCTCTACCACTGGATATAGTCTGTTTCAGTGGAAACTGATTCGTGACATATCCAAATTATAAAAACCTCAGACTATTTTTATTACTTTTTAAAACCAACGTAAGGCAATACTTTTCCAGCCTTTCCAGCAAAGTGCCTTGCATAGGAGCGTGACGTCTACACTCCAGCGATCCCGATTCATAACCCAAGACACCGCTAAACAGATTTTCTCACATTCGTGTTTTACCTTTAAAATTAATACAAATGCTACAGTCGCCTCCAAAAACACATGCGCAAACATTTAATTAACCTTCTCAGCAATGAGTGAAACGGACGCTCCCGAACGCAGCGCGGGATCGGTCTGAGCTCTGCGCATCCCTCCCCCCCCCCGAACCGCGACGCGGCGAGAACGACTGGAACCCAGGCGTCGGTTCCCCGGCCGCGTCCCGAAGACCCAGCTTGAGGAAGGCGAGGTCGCTGACGTGACAAGTGAGTATGTATTTACTTCAAAGCGTGAGGAATCTAAAACCGTTTAACAATTCAAAATCAGAATCCCACGACGCTGTCCCTCAAGGCCTTCGAGTTCCATTGTTGACGCCCAGACACCTCCAGACTTCTAAACGTCTGCTCGACGCCTGTGACAGGCGTCGGCCCCTCGCGCACTCCCACCGCCAGCGGCGCCTCGCGTCCGAAACTGGGTCCCCCGGCGCCTCCGGCATTCTCCCCACGCTCCCTCACAGGTGCTTTCCCTTCCCAGGCCGGGCGAGGGCCGTACTCCGAGAAGGCGGCAACAAAGGCGAGGAGCCGCGGAGGCTTCCAGGCGCGGGGCGGCCAGGCTCGGCTGCCACCGAAGCGCAGCGCCGCCCCAGCTGCGAGCAGCCGCGCGGGTCTCGGAGTCGCCCGCTGCGTCCCCACCCCAGCCCGGCCTGGGTCCGCCCGGAGCAGCGACGCCTCAGGCCCTGCAAGTTTCTCTCGGACCCTGGGCCGAGCCTCCTCACCACGCCCGTCCTGGGCCCCGGATGTGACGGCACCGTTGCCCGCGGCACTCGTCCCCCGGGCCGCGCGTTGGGGGTCCCGCTAAGTGACGGGGGGAGGTGGTCTTCCTGTCGGCCCGTGGCCCCCACATACCCAAGTGAGGAGGCTATCGCACAGCTCCGCCCGCTCCAGCGACTCCACGCTAAACATCTTCCCCGCCACGGCCGGGCAGCGTCTCCCGCCTGGCCGGACGCTGCCGCCACTCGGTCGGGGGATCCGGGGGCCCGCGACGCTGCCTCGGCCTCCGGCCCTCCTGCTCCTCAGATCCGGCCGCCGACTGTCGCCCAGCGCTGGCAGCGGCTCCGCACCGTCACCCCCGGGGCCCCTCCTTCTCCTTTCTATCGGGACCGCGCGCCAACAGCGCGCGACTCCGGCCACGCCCGCCGCCCCGCGTCCCCGCCCCCGGCCGTCCACACCGCTCCTCCCGAGCGCTGCTGCTCTGGCTGGAGCCGCGGCCTAATACCCACTGCGCACGCTCGCGCCCCGGCCGACCCGCGCCGTCGGCTCGCTGCGTGTCGAGGCGCGCGCGCACGCGCCCGGCCCTGGCGGCTGCGGCGGTGGGTCCTCCTCCACCGTCGGCTCGCGCCCTCGCGGAAGCTCGGTAGTGCGCGTGCGCCCGCACCCGCACTCCAAATTAAAAAGCGGACGGCTAGTGGTGGCCCGGGAGGGGTGGCGGGAGCGGTCCCGGAAATAATCTGTTCTCTGTCACCGGGAACTGGCGAGGTAGTTCCTCCGCGGTGGAGAGGTACGTCCGGCGGGCGGCGGCCACGCCTACCCCACCCGGGCCAGCTGAGCCGCCGACGGCGGGGCCCGGCCATCCTGGGGTCGGTAGGGCAGCCAAGGTTTTGCGGGGCGGCGGGAGTCGCCGCCTCCTCCCTCGCGACCCCGCCCTCCTTTGGAAGCCCCAGAATCGCCCTGCGGCTGTCCGGAGTCGCCGGCGACAATGGAGGGGCCGACGCGGAGGGCGGCTCGGCGGCTTTAGGTGGGCTTAGCCAGCGGCGAGAACACCGCCGCTCCTTCTGGGGTCGCTCGGAACGCGACCCTGAGAACTCTCCTGAATGCAGGAGGAGCGTGCGCCCGTTCGCCAATCCGTAAGGACCCCGGCCGACCCCGGGCCTGCGTCTCCCAGCGTTCGGAGTTGCCTTCGCTTAATGGCGAGGCAAATTGTTGTCGAGCTCCCACCTCTTGAGGCACGAATCTCTCCGCAGGGTTGCCGATACATTTTTAGCAGAGATAGCATACGCAGAAAAGTGCATAGACATACACGTTTAAAGAAGAATTAATAAAACACGCAGATAAAAATGAAAAGGGCATTACCGGCACCCCAGGAGTTTCTTGCCCCTGCCCTGCGCTCCTTTCTTGGAGCTTGATTCTCTCCTAGCCTGACTAGTGTGATCATCACTTCCTTACAGCTTTACCATTTATGTGTGCATGCGATCTCGTTTTCCTTTGTCTGTTTTTGAACTTTTGCGAGTGGATCATAGTGTGTTGTTTGTGGTTTTCAATCAGTATTAAATTGATGTGCTGTGTATCTATAGGTAATTTTCATTGCTGCCTAGTAGTCCACTGTGTGAATAGAACAGTGTATCCAGACTGGGTATGCGTTTTGTTCCAGACTGAGGCTACTCAGAACATTGCTATAAGCATCCTGGTGTGCCTGGAACCTAGTGCAAATTTGCTGGAATTTCCAGGACACACTCTCTGGAGTCCTTAGAGAACTGTCATGCATAGAGTATGCATAACTACTAGCCAATGCCAAATTTTTATTTGGAGTGCAACAAAGTTAACTTCCCAGGACACATTTTAGTTTGGCATCTCCCTTTTTTTTTTTTTTTTTCCATTGAGAGTAGGTTTTCTCATTGAGCACTCAAGACAGCATTGAGTTGGGTTTTTTGTTTGTTTGTTTGTCTTTGAGAAAGGGTCTCATTCTGGAGTGCAGTGATGCAATCTTGGCTCACTGCAACCTCTGCTTCCCGGGCTCAGGCATTCCTCCTGCCTCAGCCTCCCACGTAGGTGGGACCACAGGCGCAAGCCACGATACCCGGCTGATTTTCTTACTTTTTTGTGGAGAAGGGGTCTCACTATGTTTCCCAGGCTGGTCTCAAACTCCTGGGCTCAAGTGAACTGCCCGCCTTGGCCTCCCAAAAGTTCTGGGATCACAAGTGTGAGCCACCGAGCCTGAACCAGCATTGAGTTTTTAAGGATGCCTTACAGAGTACCACTCAACAGTTGACATCTGATCATTTAGCATTTTGTTAAGTGTAAAAAAAAAAAAAACTTACCTGAAGTCTTCTCAATGGTCTTTTTTTCAAACATCCTTCCCTACACCAAGGACAGAGAAACCTTTAGAAAATACACATATGTGTCTCGCCTATGTTTGGTTTCTGTGTTGGTGACTGTGGATATTTGTCAAACTAGAGTTCCTACATTCCTTACCAGGTTGTTTCTATCAAATCTCTAGCACTTTTAAGTGACCTATAATCTTGTAGGCAAATGAATGAAGTCAGTGAGTATATGTCACATTGACTTAAGCCTGACTTGCATGCAGCTTGTCTTTAGATGGGCAGACAAGATGCCGGCCCTGCTGGAGCGACTGTGGCTTTACCATCCTGAGCACCCTTCCTTCAGCGGCCCGGTTTTCAAGGCTTAGACACAATGGACTGAAAGCCTCCTTTTTCGAGGTTGTCTGCTTATCCAGTGCTTTTGTGCATGATGTTGCAGTGTTCTGGATGTTTCATTTTGTAATTCCAGTTACCTTTGATGAAAGAAATTAGTAGAAGCTTCTTGGTTGTGAGTCATTCCAGAAGCCATGTGGCCGTCAAGTTTCTACATGAGCCTTGGGGTAAAAAGACACTGAGATTCTCTCCTTTGTTCCAGGAAGTCCTGGAATTTTCAATTTTTCCCTTATTTCCTCTGTGTGGTTTATTTTTTTTTTCTTCCCCAAAAGCTTTGGAAATGCCTGAAGAGAGGTGAGTTGAATTTGTCTTAGCTGTCTCCTTACTCCGGGTAGTTGGCGGCTAGTTCTTACCCACAGCTGCTTATCGGATTGAAGAGGGCATGTGCTGTGTGACAGTGCTCCAGATTGCATCCGGTCTTCCCAGGGTACACACACTGAGAGCTATGATTAAAGAGAGTTTGAGATGCTATGTAGACCAGCTTTGGGGCGGGCATAGCTAGCTAGGTTTTATCATAGTTCTGCACTTCCCACCCCACCCCCAGCCCAAAAAAGTGTGTCTGTTTGTTATGGTTCAACCTAATGTCTTTTACATTTTAGGAAGCTGAGACTGAGACTTTACATAAGTCCAGGGCTGTCTAACTCTGGAGCTTGTGCTGCTTTGCTGTCTTAAGCTACTCCTCAGTAAGATGTGGCTAGCTGAGCAATAGCAAAGCCAGTTCCTCTGCAAACTTCTATCAATTACACTGCACAGTTTCCAAGATGGAAGGGGTTCTGTTTTTGTGAATCTTAAACAGTTCAAAACCAAGTATTAGTAACTCTTCTTTTCATTTTTTGTTTTGTTTTGTTAGATGGAGTCTCGCTCTGTCGCCCAGGCTGGAGTGCAGTGGGCTGATCTCAGCTCACTGCAATCTCCACCTCCTAGGTTCACACGATTCTCTTGCCTCAGCCTCCAGAGTAGTTGGAATTACAGGCGTCCAACACCACGCCCAGCTAATTTTTGTATTTTTAGTAGAGACGGGGTTTCACTATGTTGGCCAGGCTGGTCTCGATCTCTTGATCTCAAGTGATCCACCTGCCTCGGCCTCCCAAAGTGCTGGGATTACAGGCGTGAGCCACCACACCTGGTTTTCATATTTTACAGGATACCATGAAATAGATTACATACCATGTTCTATACATTTAATAACCTTGTTTCTGGGTTTCATGTAAACAACATTTAGTGGCCACTACAACATATCAGACCCTGCGCACTAATGACAGGAATAAGATATGATTCCTGACTGAAAGGAGTTCATTCTTTAAAAATGTATTTTTAATTTTTATGGATGTATAATTGTTATGTATATTTATGGGTACCTGTAATATATTGATAGAAATGTATACAATGTGTAATGATCAAATCTGGGCAGTATTTTGATGCAGGGTTTTGCTCTGTTGCCCAGGCTAGAATGTAGTGGTGCAATCACTGCAACCTCTGCCTCCTGGGTTCAAGCAATTCTTATGCCTCAGTCTCCCGAGTAGCTAGGATCACAGGTGTGCGCCACCACATCTGGCTAATTTTTGTATTTTTGGTAAAGATGGGGTTTCACCATGTTGGCCAGGCTGATCTCAAATTCTTGGCCACAAGTGATCTACCTACCTCAGCCTTCCAAAATGCTGTGATTACAGGTGTGAGCCACAGCACTGGCCCAAATCTAGGGTTTAAAAAAACCCTATAACAGAACCTTCAAATAACTTGAAAAAATGGAATGAAAAATAAATCCAGTAAGGTGTTACTTTATATGCTTGGAACTAAGTGCTTAACATTGTATGATTAGTAATAATAATAAATTTCGAAGATGAAGCAATTAAACACAGTATCTGCATATTTTAAAACTGAACTATAGTCACTTATGGATTTTGTAAATATTTGGCACCTATCAACATTAACTTTTGGCTGGGCATGGTACCTGATACCTGTAATCCTAGAACTTTGGGAGGCCTAGGTGGGCAAAATCCTTGACCCCAGGAGTTTGAAACCAGCTTGAGTAAGATGGTTAAACCCCATCTCTACAAAAAATTTAAAAAATTAGTTGAGCATAGTGGCGCATGCCTGTAGTCACAGCAGGAGGGTTGATTGAGCCCGGGAGGTAGAGGCTGCAGTGAGCCAAGATTCCACCACTGCACTCCAGCCTGGGTGACAATGAGACCCTATCTCAAAAAATAAATTAAAAAAATTAATTTATAAACATTAATTTGAGTAATATCTGTTTTTCAAAAAGGAAGTTCATGATGTAGTGCAAGCGTTTACCAGTTGACATGCCAGTCATGCCAGTTAGGTCTGTGGGTGCCTCCATAGAGTGACAGGATGGTAGATGAGAATGGGCATTGAGTGGGCATTGAATCCCAATTTGCATCTCAAGAAAGGAAGCAAGTATTGGCTTTATTTTTCTTGTTAAAGTAATATGTACTTGAAAGACTTGAAACTGTAAAACTGTGTCCTAGGGAGGGTGACAGTCTCGCTCTGCCAGTCCAGCTCCTCACTGATAACCACTCTAATGTTCAGCTTTGATCTGGCCTTTTTTCTCCCGAAACTCTGAGTCAGAGAAATTTAGCAGTAGAAGGAACTGAAGAAATCAAGTCACAGTTGTTAACCTAAAATAATTTAAAAGGTCAAAATCGAGTTTAAAGAGAATTTAAGTATAAAGGTTGAGGACAGGCCACCTGAGAAAGGACAGATTTCAAAGCATGGAAGTCATTGCTGTTAAGACATTTGGGATTGTTTATATAGACAAAATTTAGGGACATTTAACGGAATTTTAGTATGTTAATGTAAGGCTTAATGTACGGTTATAAAGATCTAATTAGTCAAGGTATATTTTTAGAGGAGAAAGAATGTAACTGTCTCAAGATCCCTGTTTGGAGCACCATCTCACCTGAGTTAGGTACAGGACAATAAAGGAGGCAGTTAATCTGTAACAAAGATCAGCGATTGGAAGGAGGAGGTCTGGTTTCTTTTTAAAAAAGGACTCTAGCTTTGCATAGTGGCAGTATCGTAGCCAATGAGGTTTATCCAAGGCGCGATTATTGCTAATTGAAAACTTTTCCCAATACCCTGCCGTGACAACTTGCAATATAGTCAGCATTGGCAACTTTTGACAGTCTCTATGGAGACTGTATTTAAAAATAAATAAATAAAATAAAAAAGGACTCTATTAGTCTTTTTTTAGTTGTTCATAGAACAAGAACAATGAGGAAGAGTTAAGCTAAAATCCAAGAAACAGAATTGTAAACATGTTATGTGACCGAGATCATAGTCACATCTCTCTCAAGGCTTAAGGTGTTTTGGAGGTTCTAACATCCTTTAAATTTTATTTACTTTTACACAGTTGTTGTAACAGATTTGGAACCAAAATTCAGGGCTCTTAATGTCCAAGCAGCAACTGCTTGGGCTTCAGTTTAGAGCCTGTGTGGTTGAACAGAATTGGCAGCACTGTTTAGTTCTAGATAATCACTGACCGTGAAAACCAAAGTTGGAGAACAGAAGTCCTCAATTTTGGAATTCATTTTCAGGACTAAGATATTGTGTCATCTCCTCAAGTAGGAAATTGTGTTTCCTGTTTATCTTCTGTAGTTTTTAATCAGACTAGCTTCTTTCCAAACTGAAGTGGTGGTATAAAACCTCATTTTTGAGCCGCTAGCACCTACAGTTGCTTTTTTACTCTAGTTTTAAGAGAAACTATAGCAGAAGTGTGCTATCGAAGTCCCCAACAAGCAGGTCAAATGGCATTAGTAGATCTCCATTTGACAGCCCTGGCTGTTGTTGGGATTTCCATGTGACAAGAAAATGTGGTGCCCTTCTCTTTTCCTCTCAACACCATTGGGAATTTCTGCTGTCAAATGATGCAAATAAAATTATATGATCATGCAATATTTAAATATCCTGGCTCTCTGAGCTCTTGGAAAGGTACATGAAGCAGTGTCTTAAGAGTATAATTGCATAGTAGTCAAATATATGTAATATATATAATGTTGTACAGTAGAATTTATTCACATTACCATTGATTGCACCTTGAAGGACATAGAAACAAATGTAATGCATTTTCTTAAAGTACAAAACAATGAACTGCCTAAATGTATAGCATAGGGGAAAATGTGAGTAGGAATAATTACAGTGCATTTGTTGGTAGACAACTTAAAAAGAATTTTCACCTCTGTTAGTTTATTTTAACCTTCACAGCTCTGTGAGGTAATTAGAGGTTGGAAATCTTGACACGGGGATCTTTGAGCAGATGCAAGTAGTTCTCACTGCCCTTAGGACTTTTGACACAGCTATAGCATCTCTACTTTTAAAAGAATAAACCTGATAAAATAAAAATTTAAATTGACTCCATGGCCCACCCCTGACTTATTTGAGGCTCCTTCTTCAGTTCAGTTTGCAGCTCATTTAACCATTCTTTTGAATGAAAATACTTGAATTAGACCTCTTTCTGTGAGTTTCCTGGTGTGTGCCTTTATGATGGCTATTTGAAACCAGTCATTAAAAGTTCCTGATGTATCAGGCGATTACTTCCTGTAAAGCGGATGAAAGCTGGCTTTGATCTGTTTGCGTAGGTTTCTTCCATGAGTGATAATTTTCTTACTAGCTGCCAGTTCAGATTATTTTCAAAAGTGTTAAGACTTCTGTACTCAAAGTACCTGATTAGTGATGATATTGGATAAAACTTTTTTCAGCTAAATAAGTTTCATAAAGGCAGAAGTTTATTTTAATTATATATATTTAATTGAATATTTCCTTAATTTCTCTTTAGTCTTATAAGACTTTGATACTTCCTGTTTTGTCTGAAAAAAATATGTATTATCTTTGATATTTGGACTCCAGTGTGGTTGGGCCATCTCCCCTCATAGGTATAGAATTGGATACTACAATTTTTTTCTTGTTTAGAGTGTGGGAAGGAAAGTTTCTTATCCTCCCTTTTCATAAGGAAATGCAGCATCAGAGTGATTCTATATTCCAAGCAGTTTAAAGAATTCTGAACCATAAGCTGAGCTTAGTTTCAGATGAGGCAAAGGTTCTCAAGCACCAGAATTCTCATTATTTCAAATAGTCTTAGTATAGCTATAAATGTTCTGTAGCCTAAATGTCTTTTACTTGTCAAATTACTAACACTGTAAGTATAGTAAGTCATTTTTGTTTAAACAAATATCTATTAGAACCTATTGTGTGCAGGGCATATGCTAGAGAATATGAGAATATTTACAGAAGACTACAATATATTTCCTTTCCTATCAATACATGGCAAATGCCATAAGACATACACATGCTGTGAGAGGGAAGAGGGACCTGATCTACTTAGAGAATTTATTTGGTATTTAGGAGTAAGAAAAGAGGAATTGGACAAGAATGGCTTTTTTCTTTTCTTTCCTTTTTTTTTTTTTTTTTTTTTGGAAACAGGGTCTTGCTCTGTCTCCCAAGCTGGAGTGCAGTGGCGCTCCAGCTGCAACCTCTCCCTCCCAGGTTCAAGCAGTTCTCCTGCCTCAGCCTCCAGAGTAGCTGAGATACAGGCACACGTAACCTGGCTAATTTTTGTATTTTTAGTAGAGACAGGCTTTCACTATGTTGGCCAGGCTGGTCTCAAACTCCCAACCTCAGGTGATCCACCCTCCTCAGCCTCCCAAAGTGCGGAGATTACAGGCATGAGCCACTGCGCCTGGCCTAAGAATGGATTGTTTCTAAAAGGGGTTAAGCTTTAAGAAGAAAAGATATTTTTAAAAAATACATAAATGAGGTCGGGCGTGGTGGCTCACACCAGTAATCCCAACACTGGAAGGGCTGAGGTGGGCAGATCACCTGAAGTAGGGAGTTCGAGACCAGCCTGACCAACATGGAGAAACCCCGGCTCTACTAAAAATACAAAATTAGCCAGTTGTGGTGGCACATACCTGTAATTCCAGCTAATTGGGAGGCTGAGGCAGAATAGTTTGAAGCCAGGAGGCAGAGGTTGCAGTGAGCCAAGATCGTGCCACCTGGGCAACAAGAGTAAAACTGTCTCGAAAAAAAAAAATAGTATTTTGTACTCCCCAAAATAATGTGTCTGGCAAATTTTTAAGAACTAAGTACTGGGGAATCCCCACTGCAGTTGTACTTAATTGCAGCCTACCTTCAGTAAGAGCTATCAAAAACTAAATATATTAGAAGTCAGTTATATTTACATTTCCTTGATTAGTATAGTTCATTTTCACTGTGTATTTGTAACTCTTGTCTTGTTTCTTCTTATTTTAGACCTGGAATGGCCAAATATCAAGGTGAAGTTCAAAGTTTGAAACTGGATGATGATTCAGTTATAGAAGGAGTAAGCGACCAAGTACTTGTGGCAGTTGTGGTTAGTTTCGCTTTGATTGCTACGCTGGTATATGCACTTTTCAGGTGAGACTAAAGGACAAAAGGATTGAGTACATTTGCAAGGGCTGCTGACTTTTTGACCCCCAATGATGTGTAATACTTAGTATGAAACTCAAGTAACAGATCTCAGTGATTGTAGATGTTTACTAAGGTGTTTTATTTTCCACTGGGCTTTGAATGCTAACATGTATATTTTCTGTCTCTACTAAAAATAAAACAAAAATTAGCCAGGTGTGGTGGTGGGCACCTGTAATCCCAGCTACTGGGGAGGCTGAGACAGGAGAATTGCTTGAACTCAGGAGGCAGAGGTTGCGGTGAGCTGATCTCACCATTGCACTCTAGCCTGAGCAACAAGAGTGAACTCTATCTCAAAAAAAAAAAAAAAAAAAAAAGAGTTAATACCTGAAGATAAATTAAATTTTGTATATATTATAGAAAACAAATTTTTAAAATTATAAAATAGAAAAAAGATTAATTCTAAAAATTACAAATCATTGTATTTCCTGTATAAATTATGGAAAAAATTATTAAACAAAATGTGAACACTTAGAAAAAGGGCTGATTAATTTACTTTTTTACCTCTGTATTAATAGTCTTTTATTGGGGTAACACTGTCTTAATTTCAGTAGGGTGTTTTATGGAGTGATAATCCAGAGTGATACTGGCGATATACTGTGGATATCATGGGGGAATAATGACTAGATTATAGCAGGGTTAAGTGAACTCCAAGTAGGTTGTTCTTAGGATTCCTGACTAATGTTTTAATATAAACCAAAAAGAAGGATATCATATGTTGCTGCAGGGCTCTGTCCTTGGGCCTTTTCTTTCTTTTCTTTTCTTTTCTTTTTTCTTTCTTTCTTTTTTTTTTTTTTTTTTTTTTGAGATCAGGTTTCACTCTGTAGCCCAGGCTGGAGTGCAGTGGCTAGCAGAGCTAGCTGCAGCCTGGACTTCCCATGTTCTGGCACTTTTCCCACCTCAGCCTCCTGAGTAGCTAGGACTGCAGGCATGCATCAGCATGTCCAGTTAATTATTTTGTATAATTATTATTATTTTGGTCTGATAAGTTTTTGCCATGTTCCCCAGGCTCATCTCTTAACTCCTGGGCTCAGGTGATCCACCTGGCTCAGTCTTCCAAAGGGCTAGGATTACAGGTGTGAGCCACCAATTGTCAGTTGGAAGGGATAGCTAACATTGGTATAACAGAATTAAGATTCAGAAATAGTCAAGCCATATATCTGTGGTCAACTGACCTTTGACAAGGGTGCCAGGACCACTCAGTGGGGAGAGGTTTCAAAAAATAGTGCTAAGACAATTGGGTAGTCACATTCAAAAGATTAAAATTGGACCACACCACACCAGATTAATTCAACAATCTAAATATCAGAGCTAAACATAGGGGTAAATCATTGTGACTGGATTTAGCAAAGGATCTTAGATATGATAACAAAAGCATGAGCAACAAAAGAAAAAGTAGACAAACCAGACTTCATCAAAATTAACATGTTTGGAGAGGTACGGTGGCTCATGCCTGTAATCCCAGCACTTTGGGAGGATCACTTGAACCCAGGAGTTCAAGACCAGCCTGGACAACGTAGTGAGACCCTATTTCTACAAAAAAAAATTTTTTTTGAGACGGTCTCGCTCTGTCGCCCGGACTGGAGTGCAGTAGCACCATCTCGGCTTACTGCAACCTTGCCTTCCAGGTTCAAGTGATTCCCATGCCTCAGTCTCCCAAGTAGTTGGGATTACAGGTGCCAGCCACCATACCCAGCTAATTTTTGTATTTTAGTAGAGATGGGGTTTCACCTGTTAGCCAGGCTAGTCTCGAACTCCTGGCCTCAGGTAATCTGCCCACCTTGGCCTCCCAAAGTGCTGGAATTACAGGCATCAGCCACCACATCCAGCCTACAAAAAATTTTAAAATTAGCCAGGCATGGTGGTGTACCCTGTAGTCTCAGCTACTTAGAGGCTGAGATGGCAGGATTATTTGAGCCTGGGAAGTCAAGGCTACAGTGACTTATGATCATGCCACTGCACTTTAGCCTGGGTGACAAAACAAGACCTTGTCTTAGGAAAAAAACAAAACAGAACAAAAAATAAAAATACAGAAAGGGGCCAGGTGCAGTGGCTGATGCTTGTAATCCCAGCACTTTGGGAGGCTGAGGCAGGTAGATCGCCTGAGGTCAGGAGTTGAAGACCAGCCTGGCCAACATGGTGAAACCCCATCTCTACTAAAAATACAAAAAATTAGCTGGGTATGGTGGCGGGCACCTGTAATCCCAGCTACTTGGGAGGCTGAGGCAGGAGAATCGCTTGAACCCAAGAGGCAGAGGTTACAATGAGTTGAGATCATACCATTGCACTCCAGTCTGGGCAACCAACAAAACTCCATCTTAGAAAAAAAAAAACAATTCATTTATTAAGGCACTTATATGTGGTAGATGCTGAAAACTGTATAACCTACTTTTATTTTATTATTGCATTTTAGGTTTTGGGGTACATGTGCAGAACATGCAAGATTGTTGCATAGGTACACACATGACAGTGTGATTTGCTGCCGTCCTCCCCATCACCTATATCTGGCATTTCTCCCCATTTTATCTCTCCCCAACTCCCTACCCCCCACTGTCTCTCCCCTGTTTCCTCCCGACAGACACCAGTGTGTGATGCTCCCCTCCCTGTGCCCATGTGTTCTCACTGTTCAACACCCGCCTATGAGTGAGAACATGCTGTGTTTGATTTTCTGTTCTGGTGTCAGTTTGCTGAGAATGATGGTTTCCAGGTTCATCCATGTCCCTACAAAGGACAGGAACTCATAGTTTTTGATGGCTGCATAATATTCCATGGTGTGTATGTGCCGCATTTTCCCTGTCTAGTCTATCACCGATGGGCATTTGGGTTGGTTCCAGGTCTTTGCTATTGTAAACAGTGCTGCAATGAACATTCGTGTGCATGCGTCCTTATAGTAGAACGATTTATAATCCTTTGGATATATACCCAGTAATAGGATTGCTGGGTCAAATGGCATTTCTATTTCTAGGTCCTTGAGGAATCGCCACACTGTCATCCACAATGGTTGAACTTATTTACACTCCCACCAACAGTGTAAAAGTGTTCCTATTTCTCCACATCCTCTCCAGCATCTGTTGTCTCCAGATTTTTTAATGATTGCCATTCTAACTGGCATGAGATGGTATCTCAATGTAGTTTTGATTTGTATTTCTCTAATGACCAGTGATGATGAGCATTTTTTCATATGTTTGTTGGCCTCGTGAATATTTTCTTGTGTAAAGTGTCTTTTCATATCCTTCGACCAATTTTGAATGGGCTTGTTTGTTTTTTTCATGTAAATCTGTTTTAGTTCTTTGTAGATTCTGGATATCAGCCCTTTGTCAGACGTGTAGACTGCAAAAATTTTTTCTCATTCTGTTGGTTGCCGATTCCCTCTAATGATGTTTCTTTTGCTGTGCAGAAGATGTGGAATTTGATTAGGTCCCGTTTGTCTATTTTGGCTTTTGTTGCTAATGCTTTTGGTGTTTTGGTCATAAAGTCCTTGCCTACGCCTATGTCCTTAATGGTTTTGTCTAGGTTTTCTTCTAGGGTTTTTATGATGTTAGGTCTGTTTAAGTCCTTAATCCATCTGGAGTTAATTTTAGTGTAAGGTGTTTACACTAAAATTTAGATTGTTAATTTGCTTTCTGCACATGGCTAGCCACTTTTCCCAACACCATGTATTGAACAGGGAATCCTTTCCCCATTACTTGTTTTTTTCAGGTTTGTCAAAAATCGGATGTTTGTAGATGTGTTGTGTTGCCTCCGAGGCCTCTGTTCTGTTCCATTGGTCTATATGTCTGCTTTGGTACCAGTACCATGCTGTCTTGATTACTGTAGCCTTGTAGTATAGTTTGAAGTCCAGCAGTGTGATGCCTCCCGCTTTGTTCTTTTTGCTTAGAGTTGACTTGGCTATGCGGGCTCTCTTTTGGTTCCATATGAAGTTTAAGGTGTTTTTTTCCAGTTCTGTGAAGAAGGTCATTGGTAGCTTGATGGGGATAGTGTTGAATCTGTAAATTACTTTGGGCAGTATGGCCATTTTCACAGTATTGATGCTTCCTAACCATGAACACGGAATGTTTCTCCATCTGTTTGTGTCCTCTCTGATTTCGTTGAGCAGTGGTTTGTAGTTCTTGAAGAGGTCCTTTATGTTCCTTGTTAATTGTATTCCTAGGTGTTTTATTCTCTTTGTAGCAATTGTGGATGGCAGTTCGTTCTTGATTTTCCTCTGTTTAAGTCTGTTATTGGTGTATAGGAATGCTTGTGATTTTTGCACATTGATTTTGTATCCTGAGACTTTGCTGAAGTCGCTTATCAGTTTCAGGAGATTTTGGGCTGAGATGATGGGGTCTTCTAGATATACAATCATGTCGTCTGCAAATAGAGAATTTAACTTCCTCCTTTCCTATTTGAATACCCTTTATTTCTTTTTCTTGCCTGATTGCTCTGGCTAGAACTTCCAGTACTATATTGAATAGGAGTGGTGAGAGAGGGCATCCTTGTCTAGCACCAGATTTCAAAGGGAATGCTTCCAGTTTTTGCCCATTCAGTATGATATTGGCTGTTGGTTTGTCATAAACAGCTTTTATTATTTTGAGATACGTTTCACCAATACCTAGTTTATTGAGGGTTGTTAGCATAAAGGGGTGTTGAATTTTGTCAAAGGCCTTCTCTGCATCAATTGAGATAATCATGTGGTTTTTGTCTTTGTTTCTGTGTATGTGGTGAATTATGTTTATAGACTTGCATATGTTGAACAAGACTTGCATCTCTGGGATAAATCCTACTTGATCATGGTTGATAAGCTTTTTGATGTGCTGTTGCAATCGGTTTGCCAGTATTTTATTGAAGTTTTTTGCATCTATGTTCATCATGGATATTGGCCTAAAGTTTTCTTCATTCTTTTTTCTTTTTTCTTTTTTTTTTTTGAGACAGTGTTTCGCCCTTGTTACCTAGGCTGGAGTGCAATGGCG